AGCCCCATGGCATAGCGGTTAAGTGTGCATGCTCCACTGCTGGTGGCCTGGGTTCGGATCCCCGGGCGCACACTGATGCACCGCTTGTCAGGCCATGCTGTGGCGGCATCCCATATAAAATGGAGGAAGATGGGCATGGATGTTAGCCCAGGGCCAGTCTTCCTCAGCAAAAACGAGGAGGATTGGCATGGATGTTAGCTCAGGGCTGATCTTCCTCACAAAACAAAAAACAAACAAACAAACAAATAAAAAAAGAACATGGACATGCTAAAAATAATCCAGGAGAGCCAGCTGTAAAAAAGCCCACTATAAGGAGACAGCATACACAACAACAAGGATGGCTCTCAGATGCGGTCTGCTGAATGTAAGAAGCCACACTGAAAAGACTAGATACCCTATGATGCATGTGTTTATGTGACGTTGCAGAAAAAACAAAGTGTAGGAATAGAGATCAGTGGTGCCAGGGGCTGGGGAAAGTGTTCAGCACAAAGGACTCCATGGAAATTTGGGGATATGGAAATATTCTATATCTTGATGGCCGTGGTGCTTACCTGACTGAACTCACAGAATTGTACACTTTATAAAGAGGGTGTATGTACTATACCTTAATTTAAAAAAAATTTTTAAATCCTTTTTTTAAAAAGTCTTGATGCATGTAACAAAAAAAGAAAAAAACAGTAGGGGCTTGACTAGAGTACGTTCTGTGATGCTGGTGATGGTGCTGATCTAGACAAAATCGTGCCCAGAAAGTAGCTACTAGTTACCTGTGGCACTGTTGTCATCAGCTTCACAGCAGAGGCAGTCTAGGATAATGCAGGGCTTCTTATAGCCCACTGGGGACAGCAGAAGTGATTTGGGGTGTTCCTGATTTAATTTAGTTTCTTTAGGAAAAGATGAGGTAAAGAGCAGGGAGCAAGCCAACTGAGTTTGACTTCTGGCTCCCAGCCCACTCCTGTGAGCTTGGGCCCTCTCTAACACCCACACCCTGTCTGTAAAGTGGGGATTAAAACAGCCATATTGCTTGAGGAAGTCAATGAGCTGTAACAATACATGTAAAGCACTTAGCACCGTGTCTAGTACTCGGTAGGTGTTTGGCAAATTGTAGTAGCTGCTGATAGAGCGATATTATCATGTTAGCGTTATTATTAAGGGTCGTTTGGGAGTAATCACTATTTGTCTTTGCTTCCGCATAGGGCAAGCAAGTTCAGCAAACGCAGAACAAAGTGGAAAGCTGACTGAATTTATGTCTAACCTGGCATGGGATTTTGCAGTCAAAGAAGGGTTCCGGATTTTCAAAGAGATGCCAGCCACAAAACCGGTTACGAGGTCCTACCACACGTGGGCTGGTCCACAGTCCCCGAGGAGCACCCCAGGCACGAGGAGTTATGTGCCCTTTAGAGAATCTTCCCCAGCTCATGCCTCCAGGGCAGCTCTGGTTATCTCTCCAGAGGGCCTTTCCCCACCGGTCAGGGAGCTGTATCAGCGGCTGAAGCAGTTTATGGAGCAACATGTGTACCCCGCTGAGCCAGAGCTGCAGAGTCACCAGGCCTCAGCAGAGAGATGGGCACCTTCCCCACTGGTCGAAGATCTCAAGGTAAAGCAGCCTACTGAGAGCTGGTAAGACCTCGTTAACATGGCAGAACCTCAGCTCGCCACCAGACACGTCTGTTCCCTCCGCAGGCGGTGAAGAGACGGGAGAGCTGAGCTGAATTATCTTTGCTTTCCACCCTCATCAGAAAGAGCCAGCTCTAGATTACTCAGTGTTCACTTCATTGCCCTTCCTGTGTGACCGTGTCACAGCCAGAGAGCTCAGCCCAGCCAAGGAAAGCCATGTCTGTGGTGTATAACCCCAGGAGGTGGACTTATTTTATGCATATTTGAATTATGTAAATTTGAAACAGCATGATATAAAATACATCAGTTAATAAAGGTGCTCTTTGAAGAATCCATGATGTCAAAGCTAAAGGGTCAAGTCAACTGTAAACTGTGTTTATGCTGTTGACACACAGTGACGCCACTTTAGCTGATAATGGAAAAACCTGCTGTTCTTAGCACATATTTTGCCTATGATGCAACCATCATCTTTTTTTTAAAAAAAGCATTATCACTCTTTTTCTAGTTACAAACCTATTGCAAAATAACGAAAGCTCAAACATGACAGGAGTAGAAAGAGTTCATGACGTGGAAAGAAAGAGTTCTCTAAAATTCTCTGCCCTCTGAGATAATCACTGTCAACAATTTGGTATATTAGGCTCCCAGCTCCTTTTCTCTATTATATACTAACATATATTATTATTATTCCTATGTTGTAATGGAATCGTTCTATACATTCGAATCTCCTGCTTGCTTATTTAATGATATATTACCTTCCCATGTCAGTGCCTGGAGATCAGTCTCCAAGGGGTTTCACAGTGTGGGTACACCATAATTTGTCTGTCCTTCTCTGGCTGAGGGACACTGAGGGTGTCTCAGTCATCAGTCAAGGTCACTCTGGGTCACTTAAGCAGCAAAGGACGTTGTCTAGCTGCTAACGTGGACAGGGAGGCTGAAGACCCAGCTTTAGAAGACAGTAGAGGCCGAGGAGAGGCAGGCTGTGGGCAGCATGGCAAAGGCTGTCCCAAGAGCAGCTGGCTGGGAGGTCTCCCCTGGACGCTTCCTCAGGCCTCGGAGTTTGAGGTGGGACTTCTCGGCTGGCCCGCGTAGGTCCTGTGCCCACACCTTCATTGCCAGGAAGCAGAGAGAAGGAAGGTGTGTCTGGCCTTCGCCCTCTGCAGAGGGAGGCTCGGCCTCAACCTCACTGAAATGCATACAGTGAGAGGGTCCCTCAGAATAAGAAGGGGGTTTGGATCCCGTGCAGCGAATGACCTTACATACTTCTGTGTACATTTACCGTTTCTACATGATAAATTCTTTGAAGTAAAAACACCGGTCCAGGAATGAGACCATTTAGAGTTTTAATAAATACTGCCGAATTTTCATCAAAAAGCTGCTTACCCATCTATGCTCCCATCGTTTACATTTGAAATGCCCTTTACCCCACCTGCTGGCCGGCACGCTCAATCCTTGCCCGTCTGATGTAAGCCTGTCGAGGGCACAGAGCATTGGGAAAGCAAACACTCATACAGCAAACACCTCCCGACTCTAAAATGAACACCTAGGAAAAAACCTAGATTAGGGAGCATTCTGCTTCTAGTTACACCTGAATGGGAGTCATAATGACAACTAAGATTTTGGGGTAGAGTGGTAAAATTGTAGCTCATGGCTTTTAATCCAAAGCGTCATCACTACCATAAATGAGAAGAAGTATTTGACCATTTACACTGCATTTCGCAAATCCTGTGAGGTAAACATTATTAACCGCGATTTAAAGGTGAGGAAACGGATTTGTCCAGGGAAGCAGCTAGAAATAATAGCACCTGGATTCAAATCCCAATCTTCTGGGCTCAAATTCTGTGGGTTTCCCCCCGCCTACAAGGTGATCATGTTCATTTCCTTATTCTGCCTCTTCTCAGAACTCCCTTGCTTCCTACTGCTCCCTTTCCATCCCACTTGATTTGTTCCAATTAATCCACCCTTCTCCTCCTTGTCGTTGCACTCTGGGCTACTTAGCTTAACACAAACAACGAGACAGGACATGTACTAATTCTAGAAGTACCTGACGTTGAGACCGGGCCCAATATAAATGTAAGAATCATGCCAGCTGGTGCCCTCCCAGTGAGAAGAAATGATGCTGATTGTATCCATAGTCACTAATATTTAGTGCAGCCCGCCAGCTCCTATGGCAGGCACTTTATCTTCTGTTGTCTTGTTTAATCTTCACAACAACCCAGTGAGCTGGGTGTTGTGGACGTTGGTTGGGTTTGGGCTGCCTCGTGTCCATTCCCCTTTCTTGTGGTAGCAGCACCCCAGTTTCATTTGGGGGTATTCTCTCCCCGACTTTGGATACAGTCTGGCAGAACTGTCAGTCAAGGTGCCAGGCCAGCCCTGTCCTGGCCAAGAAGTGGGCCTGTGAGCCAAGCTAGGCCAGCTGGGCCGTCCCTTCCTGGAATTGGAAGCCTGAGCAGTGTTTTCAAGACAGGAGACGGTTGGCACTCACCCATTCCACAGCCGGGGCCGCAGGAGGACCGCTGAGTGTCCTGTCCTCTCGCGATGCCCCAGGCTGCCCGGGTTCCTGTCCATTTCTGAGCTGCCTCCTCTAACCCGAGCTCCTGAAAGCTCGCACTTCCTTTTTTCCTTTACTTAAGCTGCAGTCCATTTGTCTCGCTCTACCTCTGTAGTCCTGACTGATAGGGCGGTGGTCATATCCCATTCACAGATGAGGAAACTGAAACGTGGAGATTAAGGATCTTGTCCGGCTGGCCCAGTGGCGCAGCCCCGAGCTCCGCTGTGGCGGTCCGGGGTTCACAGGTTTGGCTTCCAGGTGTGCATGGACGCACTGCTTGTCAAGCCATGCTGTGGCGGCATCCCATATAAAGTAGAGGAAGATGGGCATGGATGTTAGCCCAGGGCCAATCTTCCTCAGCAAAAAGAGGAGG